ACTTGGTTTGTGCATTATTCTGATATTCCTTTTACTTAAACAGGATGGCCAGTACCTTCGGCCATCAGATCCAGCCTATGAGCAAGTATTGGATTCATTAGCTATGATTGCTCGGCACACGCCTGGTCCTCTTCTAGAGGCTCTTCTAAGATGGAGAGAAAGGTACATTTCTGTTTCAAATTGATGTATTTTTTTTGTCATGCGTTTCCTATTCATGCAAATACATTCTGACAGTTGTACTAGCAGACCTGTCACGCATCAACAAATAGTTTGGTAAATGTATGTCTAATTTTATCATCGCTCTGTCCAACAGGCCAATAGCTACTTTCCTATTCAGAAGAATACGGCATGACAACTTGAGTCATTGTCTGTTAATAGATACAGTTTTAAATAGTTTTATTTCTGCTGGCTCTGTTGAGACTGATTGAGAAGCGAAAAGTGTGGAGAAAATCGCCAATTAAGCAATTGCAATCTATACCTTTATTCTTGAGTACTTTGGCCTGCACATGCTATTTTTCCTTAGGAGTAAGCATTCATGGGGAGGTATCAGAACTACAGTAGGCCTAATAATGGATTTTTAAATGCTTTTCTTCAGAAACCTTTTAGCTGTCAATTATTGTTGTCACTAGTTATTACTTTATCTTGTTGCCCTCTGTGTCCCCACACCTCTCATATTGAGAAGTTCTCAAAATGTTTGACATTGAGCTGACTTTGTGAAAAGGTTACTGATCTAAAATTCCAGATTTTAAAAAATGTGACTAAGAAAAACGCTTGGCATACTCCACCTTCGGACATGATGAAGTATTGAGAGGGATGAGGGCGTATTTTTTATTAAAAAAAAGTTTCAAGAAGGAGGCAGTCATTTCAATTTTTCACTCAAAATTTAGTTAGTTTTCCGTAGTTGCCTACTTTGAGTTGATCCCAAATCCAGTTGATATCCTTCTAGATGGTGAATCCTTGAGAGCAAATATAAATCACTTGTATTGGGTCTTATGGAGTGTATTATTTTTCTATGTATTTCTCCTGTGACCAACTTTATTCCACATTGGAGCTGCTCCCTCACTAATCGAAAAAGTTACCACTTGAATTTTGCTTCAAATTTCTTGAAGCTTCTTTCCACTTTATGTAGTGGGTCGCATACTGGTATCTAATTCTGACGAAATTTGTCATGAAATAACTTCTGTTTATATTCTTTCCTTGTTTAATACCTTCATAAAACGAGTTATATTAAGGTTTCTAATTGTTGAAATTATTTTATTAACAGTTGTATGATAATCATTATTCTTATGCTGGTTACAGCGAATCTCCCAAAGGTGCAAATGATGCATCAACATTTCAGAGAAAGGTTTGTAATCTACTAACTCATTTTTACATCACTTCATCTCCATGTATTGACAATGCTTTTGCATTCAAGTGCTAACGGAATGTTCTTTATATAAAACAACGACAATGACAACGCCTTAGTCACAAACAAGTAGGGTCATCTATATGACTCTTCATTGACCATGTTCTCCAATTAAATTCATCTCATGCTAACATTATATAAAATAAAAATAAAAATGAAAAGTAATAGAAATTATTCATACTTACTACTGGCATAAGAATCTCTATTAGAGCTAAAAGAGTCCTATAAGGCTATAACACATAGGACATAAAGTAAACGTATTAACATGGCTAAAATATATTCCAAACTAATTAGTATCGCCTTTATAGATCTATTTCTTCTGTGGTGCCATATCTTTTGCTAAGTCTTTATTGATTCCAAGAGATTGTAGGTCTTTTGAGACAATTTCCTTTCATCGGATGACGCCATTCCAATATTGTTTTATAAGAAAAAATTATCAAGTCAATATGCAATTAATTCTAACTCTTTAACTGAAAAAAAGGAGGAAATTTTAGAGCAGAAAAAAGAAAAAAAGAAGAGAAGAAGAACTGAAGAAGCTCTCGGAACTGAAGAAAAGACAGAGCTTTTCTCAGACTAATCTGTTGAGTGCAGCAGCAGTGATAAAAAACAGAGCCAAAAAAAAGAGAAGAAGAAAAAGAAAAAGAAGAAAAAACAGAGCAACACAGACTCTGTTATGTTGCAGCAGCAACGATAAAAAATAGAGTCCAAAACAAAAAGAAAGAAGAAGAGATGAAGAAGAAGAAAAAGGAAGAAAAAACAGAGTAACATCGATTAAAAACAAAGCCCAAAACAAAAAGAGAGAAGAGAGAAGAGAGAAGAGAGAAGGAAAAAAAAATTGGACAGAGTCACAGAACAGAAACTCGAAGAAAGAAGAAAGGAGAAGAAGAAAGAAGAAAAGAGATGAAGAGAAGCATACCTGATGAAGAAAGAAGAAAGATAATCGCTGGTCTGCTGTAGGTTTGTTGTCGACTTGAAGGAGAAAGAGTAAAGAAATCGCGAGCCCTAATTTTTTGTTTTAACAGATCACTGCTACTGCCTTATTCTTTTCTTTTTTGCAAAAAGCGACGCTACAGCTCGCCTCACGCTACAGGTCGCCACACGCTACAAAGGTAGAGGCGCTCGCCTAGCCTCGCCTCACGCTATTAGCGCTGAGGCGAGCGCTATTTACAACACTGGGTCTACCTCGTTCTCTTTTAACACCTTCACTTATTATGGTTTCACACCTAAGGACCGGTGCATTTAGAGGTTGACCCAGGACATGACCAAGCCATCTCAAGCGACCTTCTCATAATCCTTAACATGTGCTACTTGCACATTCTGGCGAATGTGATCATTTTTAATCTTTGTCTAATCTTGTATGACCGCACATTCATCTTAGCATCCGCATCTACGCTCACACAATGTGCTTTATATGTTCTTCCATTTTCCTGTCATAAAACAAGTTGCGTGAAAATGAATGCTGCATAATTAATGGGATTAAATGGATGCAAGACCATTCTATCAGATTGATCTTACATTTGTGATATAAACCTCTAATAATACTGTATTCCGGGTCTTTTCCCTTTCAATTTGGTTTTATATATCTATGTAAAACAAAACGTAGGGAAAAAGAAGAAGTGAATTATGAAACTTACAAATGTAGCTAGAAAAGATGGTTAGAGAGTAGGAAAATGAGGTGCGCAAGCTAGCCCGAACGCCACAGGTTATTAAAAAGAAAAAGAAATTAGGAAATTGCGATTGTTTGACTATTTATGCGAAGATCACATGTATTTATCGGCTTGAACCTATTTTGGGAGCAAATCACCACAAGTATTTATGAATTGACATCCTCTAACATTTATTATGCGTTGATTCTAGCTAGCTTCCTTTGTCAGAGTTAATGTGTACGACAGCCATTTTCTTCAATCCATTAGTTGCATCAAAGTGTGCATACTGCATTTTATTGATCGCTCATTATAAATATTTTGGATAAAGAAAAGGAAAAGTTAACCAGCAATCTGCAAATTTCAACTGTGCGAAGAATACAATTATTTTGATATAGTTCTCCAATCTATTTGCATATTGCTTCATAATGATGAGCCTAGAAAGCTATATGGTACAAGAGACTCCCAATTATAAATATATTCTTCCAAAAAGTTTCACATTTTGTTCAAGACAAATTTGTAAAGCAAAACAAACGTGCATATCTCTTTTGACTTATTTCCTCTTAGACATCAAAACATAGTCGATAAAACAATTTGAGTAACCTATCCGTTCAATGTATCAGCTGAGATTCAACTCAACTCATTGTTAATGAAAATCTGCACAAAGCTCTCCATTCACTGAGCACTTAGAATATGTTTTTATTATTTGCTACATGCAACGGAAGACTTATACCTGCAGGCTTGAGATTGTTAGTAAGTGATTGCTTTATGATTTTTTCAGGTGAGTAGAATATCTATCCTTTCACCTTTACAGGAACTTAGCTTTCCAATTTTAGATCCTTATGGGGTTGGCTGTAGGAAGTTTGAAGAAAATTACAAAGAAGACAGTTTACTTATGAGAAAATGGACTCAAAAGTTTCAACAGAATTTCTTATTTGGAAGTACAATTTTTAAGACTCAATTGACATAACAAAGGAAATGAAGATGTAGTGTTCTATAATTTAGTGAACTATTCATGTTTGTACCTGAACTGTACCAAACTGTATCACATAATAAATACTCCTATAATTCTGTTCTAAGCATCTGACTAGTTTCTTGGATGGTTTAGCTTGCTGTGGAATGCATCTTTTGCTCTGCATGTATTCGCTTCGTTGAGTGTTGTCCACAAGAAGGACTTACAGGTACATTTGTAGATTTTATGACATCAACAAAATTTTCCTTTTCCTAGACGTCTAGCCAAGTTTTATTAAGTTAATGTGCTTTTCGAAACTGCAGAGAAGCTTTGGATTGGGCTTGAAAATTTTGTTTTCGATTGGCTAATAAATGCAGACAGGTAAAAGTTTTTCAAGCTATTTATAAATTCATGACACTCGACTTCCTTTTTGCTGTTTCCAGAATAAAAGCTACAAGAACTGACAACTCTTTTGCCCCACTTTTGATCATTTGGCCCCTATTTTAGTTTTTCCCTCTTTGCTAGAACCACACATCTGATCTTCGAATTCCTATTATCTTCCTTCTCCGGTATATCTTATTTTATTTTTTAGTTTATGCATGCCTACAATGACATGTTCAGGTAGTACATATGTTTGTGAGACCTTGTTCTTATCTCACTTCTAAGTGACACAGTTCCTGGTTAGTGTCATGTGCACAAAACATTCTGTGGAACTGGGCTCTGGTTTTTTTGAGAGGGCATGCCTCTGAAAGTGTATTTCTTGTTCTAGCATAGTGAAGTGGGAAAAGTGGAACTCCAGTATGAAGTTACCTTCATGTCATGTGGACTAGACGTTTTAGCCTAAACTGGTCTCTAATCTTGCAGGCTTGTGATATGATGGCTAGATCAGGTTTTTGTACCTTTCAAGCTTGATTACTTTTTGCTTTATAAATATATTCTTATTGCCATTACAATGGCCAAGAGAGATGATCTGATATACCTTGACTTATTCTCATTCTTGAGTCAGATGCTGGATTGGAAATAAAGCTGTTGACTTTGAAGTTTTTGTGGTATAATGCAACATTTACTTATTGCAGGGTTGTTAGCCAGGTTGATTACCCTTCATTGGTTGATTTACGGGGGCTTCTTCTGGACCTGGTTGCCCAACTCCTTGGTGCCCTATCGAGGATCAGGTAAGTGAATGGTATTTGTACATTTCTGTAGTCCGATATTTTTGAAACTCACACACTTGATACCAACTTAATTGGAAAAATCTTTCTAAGGAGGATGGAATAAAAATGTCGATGAAGAGAGAAGAATGAAATGATACCTCTGCAACTTTACCCTGATTGTGTCAAGTGAAAAAATAACAAGTTTCATGATAGTCGTTTGTGTGTGCCCTATATACATCATAGAGTTTGTGTACTTCCCAAATTATTTTGATCAGTGAGAATCTGAAGTTCAGCCTCATGCTTCATTGTTGTGGGTGTTAACGCTTCCCCTCTCTGTAACCAGATTTAGTTCAGTGACAGAACGCTTCTTCATGGAACTCAACACACGCCGAATAGATACTAGTGTTGCTAGAAGTGAAACACTTAGTATCATAAACGGAATGCGCTACCTGAAGCTTGGGGTATGTCTTATTTTATTTTGCTGAATTAATGTCCATTGAGGTACTATGGTGATAAAGATATTTCCAGGTAAAGACAGAGGGTGGACTGAATGCTTCAGCTTCCTTTGTGGCTAAAGCTAACCCACTTAATCGAGCTCCTCATAAACGAAAAAGCGAACTTCATCATGCCTTATGCAACATGCTATCAAACATCTTAGCACCTCTTGCGGACAGTGGAAAAGGTCAATGGCCTCCTTCAGGCATAGATCCTGCACTAACTTTATGGTATGAAGCTGTGGCACGAATAAGGGTGCAACTCATGCATTGGATGGACAAGCAAAGCAAACATATTGCTGTAAGCGTCTTAAAAAGGCCATTTTAGAGAACTTCCTCCTGTCTTCTCTGGTGTTTTTTCATCTAAGATCAAATGTAAATGAGGTGAAAAGAAGATCAAATCTGTGGAAAAGTCTCAAAAAGTTTTTGTCTGCACAAATTTAATGGTTTGTTCTACATCAAAGTGAGATGGTTTCCAGTCCTGTCATTTTGGCTAAGTTGTTTCTTTCACATTCTGTTGTCTATAGTGATGCAGGTTTTCTTACATTTTCAATTTCTGGCTTGACTTAGTAATTTCTATTGCTTGCTGTTTACTCTGAACAATTGATTTACTTTTAAATCAAATTGTGTCTAGCATGTCAAACAAGGTGACCATAGACCGGTTCATCTATTTTATGTAAGTCTGTTTTTAGCAAGAAAAACTCTGAATCCATGAAACGATAGTATATGATCTCATTTGGATTCATTTATTCTGTTCAATGGGCACTGAATAAGTTTAGCTTCCAGAGAATGGATACGATAAGTCAGCAAAAGTTTATATCCCAGGTTGAAGTTCTAAAATGCATTAACAGTATTGTGTTAGTCAAGAGTATAATTAAGAATATGATGTTGTTTTTAATGATTAGTTCATAATTAGCAATATCAAGAATTATAAAACTTTTCTTATGTCATGTAGCTTCAAATTCCTACAACATAACTAACTTATGTTGTTATACGGTCTTTGGGAAATCCTCACATTAAGGCTAGTTTTTGGGGTAGAGTAAGTTAGGCCGAAGGCCCATTTTCTTAACATGGAATCAGAGCCAAACCCATCCCTATTCTTGGTTCACCCAATATTGGGCCCTCATGATATATCGTCCATGATTTAGATATCCATTCCAGCCTTGAGTATATAGAGGGCTCCTAGAATGTGCAACATTGTTTGTGGGGATCAATTGTAGTCTATTTATATGATTTTTGGTAGTACTTACCTCATGACTTAACTTTTGGGTTGCAGTTAGGCCAAAGTTCATTTTCCTAACATCTGCCTATCGGCAGACAGTCTTATGCCCTCTTCCCAGGAGTTTTCCTTTTTGGATAAGTTTACTATCTTTGTCTCTTTCCAGTGACTCTTCTAACGGCTCCACTTCCAGGGTTCTAGCGGTGTCAAATTGGATTACTATTTTGTTAACTTAGCAAATCATTCTCTAAAAAACTGATTTTTCTCATGATATAGAATCTTGGCATTAAGTTAACATTGAATTTTCAATCATGGTTCTGAAAAATCTCGGTCTCCTCTTTCTCTTCATGGTATTGCTTCTTGAACCCTCCACTAAACATTGAATTCTTCTCATTGTTTTGTCGACTTTTTCATACTCTTCAACTGCCAATTACAGTTACGTTAATATGTTCTGGAGATTTGCATGACTATATTTCTTTTCAGTGATTGAGAATGTATTTTTGTGTATGTTACAAGAAGTTTTCTTTCAATTTGCAATTACCTGTGACTTTTTTAATGAAAGAATTCCCGCCCTTTTCATTCTGGTGATAGTACACTATTTTGGCTAGGGGAATTGTGGAGATCGAGCATTAAGGTTGTAGGTTAGGGGAAATTGTGATGTCTTTTTTACAGCGCACTAGAGTGAGACTAGCCAGTTAGGAGTTAGTCTTAGGATGCTATTGATCAACTACTGATGATGGGCTTTATTTGTTGTGTATTAATACCTTACATCTTTCTCGTATTTCCTATATCTCTTATATTGCTGTTACTTTGTTTTATGGTATTTATGTTATGTTATGGATTTTATGGTATTTTATGTTGTTTTATTATGAGTCTATTGATAGTACTAATATAGTGTCTCTTGTTGCCTCTTTGAGCCGAGGGTCTCCTGGAAACAACCTCTCTGCCCCTCGGGTAGAGGTAAGGTCTGCGTACATATTACCCTCCCCAGACCCCACTTGTGGGATTATACTGGGTTGTTGTTGTATTCAAGCCATTGGTTTATTATTCTGGTGAGTTTTTAGTGTTTGTTGTTTTGCAAAATAAGCAAACTCAAGTTTCACCGCATTGTTGGAAGGGATTTCTAAGTATCTAGAGAATTATTAAGAATATTGAGTAGAAAAATCCTAATGCTCCAGAATAATTAAGAATTATGTGGAGAGTAATATTTAATGATTATGTCATAATTAAGAATCTCAAGATTCAGAAAACTTTTCTCGTTTTATGTAGCTGAAAACTCCAATATAATGAGCCTCATGTATGATGTCCAATCCTAAACTTTATTTCCCTAACTTCATGTGGATTTAGGATGTATTGATTCAAATTCTTTAAACCCCTGGGAAAGCCAAAAAGAAACAATAAATAGTGAAGAGAAAAAGAGGCATAGAAAAGTGGACTCTGTTCATAATTCTTTAGCGTGTGAAAAGTCCAGATCAAAGTGCTAATATTAACATTCATTATTTTCCTCCATTGATTGTTGTTCTCACATATTTTTCTGTTTCTAGATTGTTGGGTTTTTATCTAATTTGTATATATTCTGCATCCCAGGTTGGATATCCATTAGTTACACTTCTTCTGTGTCTTGGTGATCCGCATGTTTTCCTCAGTAACTTTGGTCCTCACATGGAGCAACTCTATAAGCATTTGAGGGTAAGCTGTGAAACTTTAGGAACAAAGCAAAACCTCACTGTAGCTGCTTCTTACTTTTCTTTTGCATCAACCGAGTCAGGTTATCTACTTATGCAGTTGGTATAGGTAAGAACATAGCATTATATAACATTGCTTTTTCTGTAGGACAAGAGCCATCGATTCATGGCCTTAGACTGTTTACACCGCGTACTGAGATTTTACTTGGGCGTTCATGGTGATTCCCAGCCTCCAAATCGTGTATGGGATTACCTAGACAGTGTGTCGTCGCAACTCCTTACAGTTCTCAGAAAAGGCATGCTTACACAGGATGTGCAACACGATAAACTAGTAGAATTCTGTGTGACCATAGCTGAACACAACATCGATTTTGCTATGAATCATACAATATTGGAATTGCTGAAGCAAGATAGTCCAAGCGAAGCCAAAGTTATTGGTCTTCGTGCTTTGCTTGCCATTGTCATGTCTCCTACCAGCCAGCATGTTGGGTTGGAAATTCTTCATGGTAATTATGACGTTCTTAGTTTTTTGGTATTCTTTATTCATTTTTTGGCGCCCTGTTATTCTGAAGTCATCATTTTGTATGATATGAATTGGTAGCTCGTGGTATTGGCCACTACATCCCAAAAGTGAAGGCTGCAATTGAGTCAATTTTGAGATCTTGTCACAAGACCTACAGCCAGGCTCTTCTTACTTCTTCAAGGACAACCATAGGTAATTGCCTTAAGTACGATAGCTTATTGTCCTGAACCTTTATATGAGGCAACTTGCATGTTTGTTTTGTCGAATTGGTTAGCCAGTTTCTCAGAATTCAGTTTAAGAAATATGTAATTCTTTGGTTTATTTACAATCTTCTTGAGATACATTATTACTGTTCTGAAGGTATTGTTTGTTGGTCAGCTGTTATACTCACCATAGGCCTGTAGAGACATACCTCTTTGAAACCGCATATATTTACTTAATTTGGTTAAGCCTCTTGGATTTCTTTGCTTCTTGTCTGTTTCATGTATTAAAAAATTGTGAATGATGATATGTGGTTTTTCAACTAAAATACACCAATCCATTGCCTCTGTAATCCTCACACTGGTAGAACCTTGAATTTGGCTGTGGTCAATTTGATTTTGTGATTCAGATGGCTTCTTGTGGGCAATGCAAGTACAAGAAATATATTGTTGGTTGAATATATGTTTCTTTATTTTTCTGTTACTCAAGAATGATAATATATTGTGGTTGATGTGCCTGAGACAAAACCAAGTGGCGTTGCTTTCATTAAACACAACAACAACAACAACAACATCCCAGTATAATTCACAAGTGGGGTATGGGGAGGGTAATATGTACGTAGACCTTACCCCTACCCCGAGGGGCAGAGAGGCTGTTTCCAGGAGACCCTCGGCTCAAGAGAGCAACAAGAGACAATATATTAGTACTATCAATAGACTCATAGTAAATAACATAAAATACATAACATAAAATAACAAAATAACAACAATATAAGAAATATAGGAAATACGAAAAGGATGTAAGGTATACTAATATCCAATAGATACAGCCCTGCATCAGTAGCTGATCAGTAGCATCCTAAGTCTAACTCCTAAATGGCTAGTCTCCCTCTAGTGCGCTGTAGTAATATTCACAAACTTCCCCCTAACCTACAACATTAATGCTCGACCTCCACAATTCCCTATCAAGGGCCATGTCCTCAGAAATCCTAAGTCGTGCCATGTCCTGCCTGATCACCTCCCTCCAATACTTCTTAAGTCTCCCTCTACCTCTCCTCGTGCCCACCACAGCCAGTCACT